TAGGTTTAACCTAAGGCCCCATATGACGGTACCTCTTTGCATTCAGCATTTTGATGATTTTAGCCATATTTTGTATGAAGTGCTTTAAATGTTGTACTTGATATGGATACAATGGATACCATCCTCTGTAGCAGGCAATTGCTTACATAACGATACCTCCCCTTTAACTGTATCTACCGATATTCGATGTTCAGATGATTTTAGTCTCATATTATAAAGGAATGGTTTCAAATTTAGTATTTAGTTTGTGGTAATCTATATTTGACCACAATTTCCTATAGTCGGTTATTTGGCATTGTGAAGCCTCGTTTTGATTCAGAGTTAGGTGGTATCAAATCGTCTATTACGATTTCTCCAGATAATAATATGTTAAATAATTCTAGCCACAAATCACTTTACAATGTGATTTTACGTAGATCATAAAAATGAACTTTGGTTATATTTTTTCTCAATCACGCGTACAATGATATAATATCCTATAGCACAGTGTGTTGCAATAGAATTTTGTAAAAAAATAGAAAATTGTCGGCAGATCTTTTTTTATCAATTGGGCATTTGGGTTACTTTAAATAAGAAAAACGTGTAAGGCAACTTGGAAAGTTATTTTCGGGGTTTATTCTTTTAGAGGAGGAAAAATTCAAGAGTATTTATTATGATTATAATTATTTAAATTGTTTAATAAAAATATTGATTTGCTGTATCAATGATAAGATAAAAAGTTTTTTAAATCGTGAAATATTTATCAATTTGTTAAATTAAATTCCTTATTTTTTTTAGAATTTTTTCATTTATTATAGGAATAATTTTTATTATAAACGATTTTACAATTGTTATTGAAGAAGTCTTTTTTTAATTGACATAAAAATTGGTCAAAATTTTATAAGAACAAAACAAGGGAACTGATTAGGATTGGTGGCTCTTTCCGAAACCTAGGTATTCCCTGCCTTACCCCCTGGTAAACATTACCATCGTTCTCCACTAATAAACAAACGTTGTTTTTATAAAAACAACAATAATGAGAATAAGCCTTACAATTTTGCAACAACAAAATACTATGGTATACCGAACAAACAAGCCAAAACTATTATTTTTGCTTATCACTGAATCGCATATTTTTGGAAAAGTTACTTCTTGGACAGGTTTTTATAAATAAATCTATTGATGACGCAAATAATTAGAATATATTAAAGCAAACACATAATGGTACGTCATAATATGAATCTCAATTAAAGTGATGATTAACACATCATGACAAAGAACCAATTTCGTCATTGAACTATGAATGTAAACACTTTTGAACTCCAATAACAATATTTAATTGTTGGAATTTTTTTAGTTCACTTGGTTGTTTCCAGTATTGTGTCTAGTCGTTCTGAATTTTCTACACAGCAATCTTAAAATAGAAGTTTTTCTATATGAAGAAGTCTATTTGTTTTGTTTTCACAGTCATGAAAAATAATTAACTTCCTAAACTTGTTGCTTACTATTGAAGAGTTTATTTTTGTAAAAGTTATCTCTTTAATCGTTTTCTAAAAATAAACTTATTAATAACGCAAATAAATTAAATATATTGAAGCCAACATATAATAGTATGTCATATTGGGAATTTCAATTAAAGTTATGATTAACACATCATGACAATGAACCAATTTTGTCATTGAATTATGAAAGTAAACACTTTTTGAATCGCAATGAAAATATTTTATTGCTGGAAATTTTTTAGTTAAGGTTAAACATAAGGTAGTCAAACATACGATATGGTCACTTGATTTGTCCAGTATTGTATCTAGTCATTCTGAATTTCCTACTCAGCAATCTTAATTAGAAGTTGTTCTATATGAAAAAGTCTCTTTGTTTTATTTTCACACTCATCAAAATAGATATCTTCCTAAACTTGTTGCGTATCACTGAAAAGTATATTTTTGTAAAAGTTACCTCTTTAATCGTTTTCTAAAAATAAACTTATTAATAACACAAATAAATGAAATATATTGGAGCCAACATATAATAGTACGTCATATTAGGAATTTCAATTAAAGTGACACATCATGACAATGAACCAATTTTGTCATTGAATTATGAAAGTAAATATTTTAGAACCCCAATGACAATATTTTATTGCTGGAAATTTTTATGTGAAAGAATTGTCAAATATACGATTTGTTCACTTGGCTGTTTCCAGCATTGTATGTAAATATTTTTATACCCACCACCATACATAGTATGAAGGGTATATTAAGTTTGTCATTCCGTTTGTAACTCATTGAAATAATAATTTTAGACCCCACAAAGTATATATATATTCTTGATCAGCGTAAAATTCTATGACAATTTAACCCTTTCCGTCCGTCTATCCACCTGTTGTACTCACGCTACAGTCAAAGTCGAATTAAGATAGGAAGCTAAAATTTTGCACAGATCTGTCTTTTGTCTGCAGGCAGGCCAAGTTCGAAGATGGGCTTTATCGGTCCACGATATCGCATAGTCCCCATATAACGGAACCCCAAATATTCGGTATTTTGATGATTTTAGCCACATTTTTTAATGGAATTGTCTGAATTTCCACACAAGGAGTTCTTTGTGAGTACTTTCCTCCCTCAAAGAGAATTGTCTATATAGGTCTACGACATCGTATATCCCCCATATAACGGTATCCCCCGATATTCGGTATATTGATGATTGTTACCACATTTTCCAACGAAATTGTCTGAAATTCTACACAAAGAGTTCTTTGTGAACACTTTATCCCCTGAAAGGGAATTGTCTATATAGGTCCACAATATCGTATAAACCCCTATACAACGGTACCCCCAGATATTCGGTATTTTGATGGTTTTAGCTACATTTTCCAATGGTATTGTCTGAAAATCCATACAAGGAGTTCTTTCTGAGTACTTTATCCCCTGGAAGATAATTATCTATATGGGTCCACGATATCGTATAGCCCCCATATAACGGTACCTCCCCGATATTCGGTATTTTGATGATTTTAGCCACATTTTCCAATGGAATGGTCTGAAAATACACACAAGGAGTTCCTTGGGAGTACTTTATCCTTTGGAAGAGAATTATATATATAGGTCCACGACATCGTATAGCCCGGAATTTCAACGGAATTGTCTGAAATTCCACACAAGAAGTTTATTGTCAGTACTTTATCCGCTAGAAGAGAATTGTCTATGTAAGTCCACGATATCATATATCCCCTATATAACGGTTCCTCCCATATTCGTTATTTAGATGATTTTTGAGACGTTATTTACCGGAATTGTTTCAAATGTCAGTTCGGAACAGTTACTACAGTCTATGACACAAATTACTTATGCAGGATCACGTCTTCGTGATAACGGTTCTCATGCATTGAAGTGTGTATTTAATTTTTGTAGCCTATATCGACTTTTCTCTCTTTATTATTATTTTTTTTTTTTTTTGGGAAATATTAACTTTTCCGGATAAAATATTGCACAAAATTTAGCTAAAATCGTCAAAATACCGAATACATGGAGGTACCGATGTGGTGAACTTTTGGGAATATAGACCCCACCCTCGATTTTAAGTAATTTAAATATTACCAAATTAATCTTTAAATTACTTAAAAGAATTAAAAATTGGGACTTATTTGTAGATAGTTACAATTTACACAAAAACTATAATGATTGACCCACATTTTGGTCAATCTTCTACATGGACTATGATGTTTTACGTTCAAACGTTTTTTTTGCCATTTTTGGTTAACATAGAGAAGTAATATTGTTTCAAACTACTTTTCTTTTTACGTCCTTGCAAAAAAATGCAGTCTACAATATGTACTGATAAACTGAACTACGTCTTTTGCATCCAACATTGTTCTGGTTATAAAGAAATTTACAAATTAGGCATCTTATTAACGAGAATTTAGTAGAGTTATTAATTACTTTCCTTATCTGTTTTATTTTCTGAATCTATATACTCCGAATTTTTAATTTCATTAATAAATTTTCTTTTTTCTGATTCTTCTTTCAAATCGTTTTCGAATTACGCTAAAAACTTAATTCAAAAATGCTTTGTTGTGAGGAGTGCATTAGACATTTTCACAAACAAGACTTAAATTTGTATTTTATGAACAAAGCATTCAAGCTAACAAAAAAAAAACAAAACACTGCGTTTGAATCTCTCTTCGAGCTATAAATAAACACTGAGTTAAAACATTGTAAACAATGCAAATATGTACATACCACAATCGACAAATATTGCAATTAATTCATACCCACAAGCCTGTCGATAAAAGAGTAAATAATAAAATTATTCCCCACATTCATGAGTGCTTTAGGAGAGAGAGGGATGTACAATATTCATTCAGCACACCACACCACCCACCAGTCCACCCACCCACATTCCGTTAGACACCTTTATTTAGGAGTTAAACAAAAAAAGAAAACACTATGTCAACAATGATCTTCATTTCTTTGCCGTTGCTTATAGAAACAGTGCCGGTAATGGTATCCAAAGAGGCAAAGTAGAAAGAGCGCGCGAGAGAGAAAGAGAACAAATAAAACTTGTTTGGATACTCATGTTTGCAATGTGAACAAAGCAGCGCCATTAAGGGACACACACATACATAGCCCTCACACAACTCATTAACCAATCAACCAAAGCCGAGAGCCTCTCTGACTCAATGCATTTGGTTTGTTGTTGTTGCCCAAGGCTGGTGTATGTGTGTTGTGTTCAACAATTGTTGTTGCTGTTGTTGATCTTAGCCAGAATATGATGACTGCTGTTTGTTGGGTGGATGAATGAACGAACGTGTAGGGAAGTCTTTGAGTATTGGTGTTGGTATTTTTCTTTTGCTCTTGCAATATTGTTGTTGTTTTTTGTTTCTTTTACAAAAATTTGGCTTCTGCCACTGCTGCTAACGTTGCTCACGCCGCCGCTGCTGCTGCTGCTGGTACTACTACTGCTGTGTTGTTGTTGTATGCTTAACTGACTGATCGATCATACATCACAAATGCTAACAGAGCGAGATCGCTACGCCTCAAATTAGTCGCAACAAGTACGGTTGACGAAGAACAACAAGTCGGAACGAAGTCAGAAGAGAGCCTGCATACGTTGTGTGTTTTCTTTTGTTTTGTATTTTGGAAAATTGTGTGTGCGTGTGTTTTACTTTTGTGCATATTTTCCCATATCTTCAATTGATTAATGAAAACTTTAACAACAGAAAACGAGAAAAAAGATATTAACAAAAAGTTTTCAACAAAAAAAAAAATATATTTTTTTCTCAGCATTTTAACGACGGCATGACAGACTTGCCCGGCTTCAATTAAAACGAAAGAACTTTTCTCATGGAGAATTAAACAAAATTAAAGATCAAAGAGATCTGGTCAACAAATGAAGCGAATTTCGCAGAAATGATTGATTGTTTGCAGACAAGGCTTTTCTTGGAATAAAAAGCCCATAGCAAGCTTGTGATAATGGTGTTTACTAACTTCTCAATGACCATTCGATTAATAACTGTATGGACTATATATTAAACTTTAAGAAACCAAAGAAAAATGCTCAAAGTGTTAAAATGAAATTTTTATAAAATTCAAATTACCTTCCTTAGCTATTCATTTAAAAACAAAATATCAACACAAAGAATACTCTACCCAGCTGTAAAGCTACAAGGCAAATAAATAAATGAATAATAATAATAATATTAAACGCAAGGTGTAAAGTGTGTGCTAATTTTCAATTAAATCAAAACTAAGCCAGTAAACCAAGTAATAGCAACAACAAAACTCACCTGGCCCACAACAAAGTTACCAAGAGTCGAAAATTTCGACGTTAACAAGTGTGAATTAGAATCAATTGTTACAACAATAGTGGCAAATTCCCACACCAAGTTTACTCAATTACCAACTAATCTAGCAAAACAGATAAAAATAACAACAACAAGAAAAATAAGAAAAATAAAAAAGGCAAATAATAAGAAAACGAAATAAAAATAAACTGCCAAAGAAAGTCAGCTAGCAGTTAGCGGAAAAAATACCCCCGAAAAGAGTAAATTCAGTTAAAAGTGAACAGGTGTATTGAGGAAAAAGCAACCAGCAGCAAGAACCATAAGAACAACAACAACAGCTAGCATATTTTCAAAGCGTAGTGCAACAGCTGAAGCAGAAACCACTAAAAAACACAACACCACCATCATCATCATCGTCGGAGGAGGAGGAACACGTGAAGGAGGAAGGAAAAACGTTAAGGCGATCCCCGTGAAAACAAGAAGAAAAAAAAATAAATAACCATACAGGAAAGACGAGCCAACAACATATTCTTACTCAAAACTTCTAATGAGCAATACAACAACAACTACTACAACAATCATCCCCGGCAACAGTAACACTCACCTGTTCATTTTGACGTTACGTTTTTCGTCTTCTTCCACTGCATTAACGGTTTACAACGGTTTTTTGTTTTTGGAAAATTCTCAAGGATCTCCTCACTCCCAGTGTGTTATTGCCTTTTTTCCCCGAGCCCAATTTAGTAGCAAGGAAAGAAAAAGGCAATTAACTTCCGCCTAATTTGGATTAGTTTGTCATCAACGCCCCCCCCCTCTAAATTTTTTTCTTGTTCCCGTGATTGTCACCCAGTTTTTTGGGTGATACCCCATTGGCGATATATTGGCGTGCTTCAGCTTTATATACGACTCGCAAGAGCAAAATATGATTGAACCAGGTTAGTAGTTATTAAAAAAAAATTATTTTCTTTTTTTTTTAATTATTGCGAATACAGCTTTGACACTTCACACATAGGCTGTGTGATGTTGTTGTGTTTATATATTTTTTAGTTAAATATTTAGTTATGTAGGCATAAGTTTTCTTGCGTTGTAGTTTAAAAAAATTCCTTAGTTCTTTTTTGTTTAGCTACAAATCTAAAGTATGTATGTCTAAAGTAGTTTGTATTTTTCGTGTGGTTATGGGCTTAATCTTTCAAGGAAAAGAAAAAAGTGTTATATTTATAAAGAACAAATATAAATATGATTAACTGACATTTATTATTACTGGGTCTTATAAAATTTCCATAGTTGAAATATTTAGAGGTTTATTTCCATGTTTTTCTAAAATTTGTAAAATGAAATTTATTTTTTTATCCATAAATAAATTTTCCGTCTTGTCTTAAGTTTTCTTCTATGGATTGAAGATATGAAAAACCTATCAGGGTTTTCAAAAGTATTTGTGTGTGTTTCGAAGGGGAAAATGTATACAAATTTACCCAAAATAGCAAAAAAAAAAAAAAAAAAAAAAAAAAAAAACGTTAATTGCCATTTTATTCTCTAACGCAATTGAGGGTTTTTGATAGGACTTTTGGGGGACTATGGGACACATTTTGTATTTTTCAATGATTTTATTGGGATAAACTAAAAATATTTTTTACTTTATTACCAACCTTCTTAAAACACTTCTCTAAAAGACAATTCCATGCTTAAAAATAAATAAAAAAATAAAAAATCATAAATTGCCTATTTTTGTCTATTTTGTTAGTTTGTAACAAAACTGAAAAATGCATGAAAATACTTCAGTCAATCACAACAAAACTTCTGCCAATTCCATTTAAAAAAGTCAATTTAAAGCTTTCAGACCAGCTGGCCGTTTGTACAACGAATTGTTTTTGTCATACCTTATATCTTAGACAATTTTATTCTGATCGACATGAAAATATATTCTCAAGTATTATTTGCCCTTGGCCAAGGAAAAAATGTGCCTTTCTAATTTGGCAGCTAAACTAACTATTTTTGGTCCAATGTGAAGCACTCAATTTATATTTTTCCTGAGTTATCAGTCACTAGTCTGCAAAAAGAGTGAAAAAAAATTCGAATAAATTTTTGAGGCTATTTCTAAAAACAAAATTTTAATTGAAACAATGCAAAAAAAAAGGTTTTACCTCAAAACCTCTTAGAATATAGGAAAAGCATAAAATACAGGTTGAGGATAAACGCAACTCAAACGTCATAATTTTTACATTATTTTTTTAAATTTTATTGGATGAAAGCAAAAAATGTCGGAAGTAGCATCAAATTTTAGAATAAGTTTAGATTAGTTCACTTTTGGTACGAATTATGGCCTTCAAACGGCCAATGAAACCGTCACACGCTGTCCGAATGTCGCTCTGCGGTATTTTTGCCTATTCCCGGCAAAGCGCTTGTTTGAGGTGATCGACACTTTGGTATTTTTTAGTTACAACCTTGCTTTCCTTGCAGAGTTTTGGTGGTCATCTCTCTTTTGAGTCTATTTTCTTTCTGTTGCGGTGTAAGTTTTTGCACTTTTTGGAATTTCAATGGCTTTACCCCGAGCTCATTTTTCAATATTTGCCGAATGGAATCTTGCGATACGTTCAGCTCACGAGCCAATTTTCGGCCACTGCGACGCGGGTTGCGATCAAGTTGCTTCTTCACTTTTCGGATCATTTCTGCTGATGTTGCTATTTTCTTCCGTCCACTTCCTTGACGTCGGGCTACGATACCAGTATCACGGTAACGAGCGATGGTACGAGACACAAAAGAAGTTGGTTGCAGTTTTTTCATCTCACCCTGTATATGAGATGTATATGTTTACCGGACTGTTTTAATTTAATCCATTCAAAAACGAACAAAATATAATTATTTTTTAGTAGAGAAGTAATTCCCAGGTTCTCTTCTCTAAATTATTACTTTGGAAATTAATTATTTTTCCATTTTTTGTTAAAAGTAAAACAATAAAAGTGATCTTGCCAGAGGCCGTCGGAGAATTGTCTTCGACTTAAAACAATCTGCAATAATTTCACATTGCTATCAAAAGGCTAAAATTAAGAAAATATTTACTATTCTTAACTGCATAAGAATTTCATTACTGTACAAGGCCCACTTTTATTCTGCTTGAAATGTTGTGCCTCTCTCTATATTTAAGTTAATAAATATAAATCTACAATTGAAATTTATTAAAACAATTTCCAATTGAAATTGACATACATATATATTTTAATATTTTGGCCTACAAATTTGATTTATTTTTAAAATTCTCCCTAGATTATTTTTGGCGATATATACCCAAGTTTTATTTTTCTGTAATATATTTAAATTAAAAATTGTCCATCATTGCCATTTAAATAATTTTGATAATTATTGCCAAGGGTCAAGCCACAAAAGAGTGCTGAAATGAAATAAATAATAACTATTAAAACAAAAAATTGAAAATATATTAAAAAATTATTAAAAATCCATATATATATATACAATTTTACAAAAATAATTAAATATATATTTTCCCCTTTTTTAATTATAAAAGCAGCTAATTTTTATGTGTTTTCCAATAATAAAATATTAGTGTATGTTTATAAGTACAAGAGTTCAATGTCCTTAATTCACAAGTAGAATATTCAAAACGTTTACAAACAACAGGTCATTGTTACTCTGAAATATCCTCATTTGTAAGGCATGATCTCATGGGAAATCTGAGTAAAAATTACTCGTCACGGATATGAGAAAAAACTTAGGGATTTTTAATGCATTATTAAAAATATTAAAGTCATATTTAGATAGATTGGGGTCTGTGAACTGAACGAAGAAGTTGGAAATAAATTAAGTAAAATAAAAAAAAACACTTGACTATTAAAAAAAAAACAAAACCACATGATATCTCCTTTAGGACTTAATGATCCTTCGGTAATTAAGGATTGAGTTCCTTTGAATTGAGTTACAGTTTAATAAACAAATCAACATTATTAATTTTGGTTAAACATAGCAAAAAAGGAATTTTAATGAAATTTTCTTTAGAAAGTGTTAATAATACATCACAAAAAATATTATTTTAAATCGACTTTCCTAATTTAAAATCGACATTCACTTCGATTTCGGTCAAATTTTTTTTATATACGAGCCAAAAATTATGCAATGATTATCTAGCATTTCTTTCTAATTTTTTTAATCAATCATATTTATGTATGTTACTGTGTCATATTTATGTATGTTACTGATTCAATAAAAAACCAAATATCCATGAAAGTGATTGGGCGCCGCTTCATGTCCTTAATTTATCTGTAGCTATTGAACAAAATCTTTCATTAGTGAGAAATGAAAGATTGTTGTATGTTACAGTGTCTTTTCCAAAATAGGGTTTCTAGTTCCTTTTAGTAATCCTTTTTCTAATAGGCCAAATTTCCAAGGAAGTGATTGGGCGCCACTTTATGTTCTGACTTTCTTCTATGTTTTTTCTTTATTATTACATTAAAAGGAATATCAATCGAATCACTAAACCATTTTGAAACGAGTTACTTTCAAGTCTCCTAGTTCGTATCTTTTTTGTTTCAGGACTTTTCATTCATTTTCCTCCAAAAATCATTTCTAATTTTTTGATGTTAGATTTGGCATCGCCTAGAAATCGAATCGAAGGGTCTCTTTCTGTGTGGCAAAACAAAAAAAAAAAGGTTTTTAAAATTTCTAAATTGATTTTATTGAATAAAGTAAAACACAAATACAATTCTTCATTAAAAACGGGAGAAAATAATTTCGAGAGCAATACTAACAATAGCTCTGTCCCAGAACTGCAAGAATGTAAATGAAAAAAGTTAATTGCGATAACCGATCTTTTCCTTTATGTTATCGGAAAAAAATCTCAAAACTAGTGGACCTGCGAGAAGGTTCTGGAAAAGAGCATATATTTTCTATATATGACCTGAAAATTTCATATAAACATTGGTCGAGGTTCCCCAGATAGATCATAGATAGCAAAATCTTAAAAAAACTTTTCTGCATAGTTACATTTACTCGTGCCACATGTTGGGCGCCTTTTGTTGATTCATTAGAAAATTAATGAGTTTAGTTCTTCTTACATAACTAGATGATGGGAATTGCTTAAAATGCTTCAGAGGAATCACTTTTCTCCTGCCACATGTTGGGCGCCAATTTTCAACGAACACATCATTGCTGGGTTGAGATCATTTTAAAAAGGGATTTGGTCACGTTCAGCTTATTTCGGCTTCTACTCCAATATGTAAATTTACAAAGTTTAGATCTATCATATTCCTTTCCATATATTCTTAAACGATCGTTAAAGTAAAATTGATATTTCTATGCCATAATGGCTGCCGTCGGCATTCATATTTGACGTTACATTCAAAAAATTAACCACCAATTTGTGGTTTGTAAAAAAAACAGAAAAAAAAAAAACAAAAAATCAGTCAGGTATATCCTGGCACAAGTTTTGTGTATTCTATATTTTTCACGCCTTGTTTGTTACCCTTTAAACGGCATGAAAAAGGTGCTTGCTTATTTATTAAAACAAAATACAGCAGAGGGAGGAAGGACAATGGCAAAACAATAAACCATAAAAATGGGTTACCCTTAAAAAACAGGATTCCTACGCTGAAAAGATTATTTTTTCCAATAATCCTACAACCCTTGTGATGACCAAAAAATAAAAAAGGAGAAGAGGCAAGAGTGATCGTGAACTGAACATTGTAGAGATTTAAAAGAAAGCCATTTTGTATGAAATTTATTTTGGACAAAGCCAGATACTCACACAGACACATACTCACACATGTAAAGTAGAGCAACCCAAATCTAAATGAAATAAAACAAAAAAAAAACGTTAACTCATTAGGTGATGGGGTTTGTATTGTAGACATGAGGTGGTGCTTTGTTGTTTCTTTTTTTTTTGGTTATAGACAAAATAAATCACCATGCCTTTGGGTTAGAAACAAAC